AGACAAGCTATTATTAGGTTTAATTTTGTTGTGTCTCCCACCTTCTCAAGAGTGACGTGTATCTCTCCTTGATGTAGCCTACCGCACAGCAAGCACCCCTTTCAAAATGGCAAGACGCCACTCTCGTCACGCCTACGTCTTAATTAAACCCCTTCCTCAAGGCTTTATTTTTCACCATGGTGAATTTACTAATGAATACCTGGGCAAAGTCCGGCTCCACGAGGTACCGGACGAGGCGGCTGTACTGCTCCTCCGAGAGCCTCTCGCGAGCTCCCTCGGCCTGGAACCAACCAGCACCAACCGTTACTGAAGCACTGACACGCACCGCGCGGCTCAGTAGTAAAGACAGTAAGTTCAACGTTACTTTCTGTGTAACTGAAATATTTCCCACCCATCCCGGGATCTTACAGTATCCACGCGCGTGTTTTCTTAAGCGTAATTCTCCCCTAGCCTTGGGATCTGTGGGCTAGTCCTCTCCTTTGGTATTTTCAATGTGTCTATGTTGAGAAGCTCTAGCTCTGCCACAGAAAAGTTGAAGCAGAATCGTCTGAGACTTTCCCGAACAGACTCAGGCGTAGTTTTTACAACAGATCAACTTGAAGATGGGCAAAGCTTCTCAGCCACTTTAGAAAAAGGCCAGTAGTTCCTGGCAGTGCTTATCAGGCAGCTGTCCTAATTAGCCAATTAATTTTCTACATAAAACACAATTAAAAATCACAACAGCCCATAGCTATAGCTGGGAAGTATTTAAGTATTTAATGAGCTTTGGAATAAGGGCTTGAATCCACCTCCCAGTCAAATGTTGTAACTAGGAGGGCGTATATCCATCTGTGTCTCTCTGGTAAGAAAAAAAACTACCACTTGGGATCAGAGCATTCAAGTAATTCAATTCAAAGGAATGACTTCCTTTTAATTTAATTTATTTATTTTTTATTTTTAAAAAGGGTTTTACTAAAGATCGTTTGAACACACGATTTATGAAAAAAAAAGAAACTGAAGAGAAAAAGAACACAGCTGACTTCTTTTTCATCAGCATGAGTTGGAAGGACTTCTTTGAAGAAATCCCTATTTGCAAGCTGAGACATGTAGAGGTTCAAGTTTGAGAGAGATGCAGGTAACACACATCAGTTGGAAAAAAGAAGAGTAAAACGAATATTGCCACAGAAAAGTGGCATCTACCACATGGCTCCAAGCAGCTTGTGAAGGGAACATGTGCAAGTAAGCGTCAAGCTAGGAGTGTGAATTCAAAACAATATATTTCAGAAATACAACCTTGGACACTACAGTGATATTGTTAGCCAAGTCATTCAGAATAAAACTTATTTTCCCAAATACAAATGATAGAAAAGTAGAAACTATCCTAGGGCAGGTTTTGATGCTTCCTTATTTACTCTTGGAGAATTGCTGACCACTGTCATTCTTGCAGGCTTTATAGTGTCTTCACTGGATGCCATATAGATGATTGAAAGACTGTGTTTTTTTCTGTCTATCTTTAAGAAAGTATTACAGATGCCTCAGTACATGTGATGATTTTCAAACAGGACAATTGGGTTCAATTAAACATCCGGGAATAATATCTTGTCTCATCTCTGCATAAAAAACACAAATCCTCACCTATCTGAAGAAAGAATTAATAAGACAGATAGTGGCACATATCACATCCAAATCAAAACAGTCCCCTCTGGTCTTTTGCTATGCCTTTGGAGATGGATTTGCTGCTCAACAAGTAGGAACACTCCTGTTTTCAATCATTCTCACAAGAATGCTGAAGGAAGCAGGCACATGAGCAAACTCGGGAGCTCGGAGTTTGATCCTATGCTTAGAAACAGTGAAAAATGATGAAACGGGCAAAGTGTGGCTTCCATGAGAGACCCTGGAGAGAGTGAAAGATCAGGAGACTACTGCTGTGGTGGACACATGGCTAACAGCAGAGCCCGGGCTCTGAACCACGTCTGAACCTCACGTCACAGAAATGAAGTGTCTCCACAGTCAGCCCATTTCACCAGTTTAAAGAACAGAAATATGTTAAAATAGCACCTATGTAAACTAGATGATAAGTTACGAGGCAAATCGTGCGTGTGGGTGGCTCCACATTTTTTCCTGATTTCTGTTTCTAGGTAGGTGAGCCCAGGGGAAGCTGAGGTTATAGTTCTGACTCCACATTGACCAAAAGATCAAAGTTGTCAGAGGAGATGGAAATGGTGCTGGCACCACTGAGCGCCCATTCCTCATCCAGCCCTGGGCCATATCCCACAGATAGCA